CATTTTGGATTACTATTTTCTTCTTCAGAGGAAGATGAAGATTGCAATTCCATGAGTATGTCCTCGGAATCAGAAGATCCATTTTCAGAAGAACTAGCATTAAGCAGTAATTTGCTTAATTGGAGTTTTAACTCTTCACTGATTAGAAGACTGTTAAGTTTCTCCTTAGTCCTGCACTTATTGGCATAGTGGCCTATCCGTCCATATTTAGCCTCTGTCTTGGGCTTTCCTTTACCCTTTGCTTTTGGATAGGTTTTCCTTTTGGGCTTAGTGTACTATTTTGAATTATCAACCTTCTATTGATATTTCCTTCGGGAATATTTCTTTTTATAAGGCTTGTCAACCTTATGCCTTTTCGTATTTTTAGGATAAGATAAATGAGTCTGATAGGCAAATTGATCACAAAATTCACCTACTTCCTTTTTACCTGTTAATCTCTGTTGTTTTAACTGAGGCTGTAACTTCAGATCATTACAGAGAGCTAAACCTTCTTGGATTACGATGTTGACTAATTCACTATAGGTATAGTTTCTGTAAGGGATAGAGATTCCATTGTTCATATCCCTTACTTTCTTTCTGATTCTTTCAGCAAAAAAAGTAGGAAGACTATCTACGAATTTTGCTTTCCAATGTTCATGATTTGCATCACGAAGCTGTAAAACCTTGGTTAAGAAGACATCTTTGTATGTATTTAACATTGTTGTTTGGGGGAAATGGCAAAAACTTTCCATATTTCTTCTTTTCAACAAGTCTCCTCCTCCTCCCCTTCTTATGGTTTACTACTTTTATTGTATTGAAAATTTTGTTGGAGTATTGGATTTGGTTTTTTAAATCAAATTCTATGGTTCTTTTTCTTTAATTATTTTTTAATTTAATTATTTTCTGTTATTATAAATTTATGTGCCTATATATATATATACATATATGCAAAAGAGCAAAAAAACCCCCTCAAACTATACAATTGTTACATAATGTCCCTGAACTATTTTTGGGAGCAAGTTACCCCCCTCAACTATTAAAAGCAAGCAAAATGCCCCTTTAAGGCCATCAGGGACAACTTTCCCAACAAAGTGATACAATTACTAATTTACACTTAGTTATTAATTTATTATAAAAAATATAAAATTCATTAATGTGAAATACCAATAATGCCCTCATATTTTTTATTTTATTTTTTTCTTCTTCAGTCTTCCTTCACCGTCTTCATTCTCTCTCTACCTTTTTTCCTTCACCCACGTCTCACCACCGCCACCTCACCATAACCGCCGGCGACACCAATTATTGCACCGATGTGATATCATGTCTTGAATCAAGTCATTGGGAGTGAGGGTAGTATCCGAAAGGTCTTTTTGGGTTTGAGAACATGTTAGCTTCCCCTCTATGGCGAGCCCTTCTTCAATGGAATTTTTTTTATCATAATTCATAAGTCTGCACAACCAAAACAAAGAGTTGACAAAAATAGAATAATCATAAAAATAACAAAGGTATTAAACAACCATCAACAACAAGCATGGCCAATAGCTGAACCAAAGAACAAGTGCATTAACTCATTAAGATTCTACTGCACCTACTCCTTTCTCACATTTTTGTTTGTCAGTGTTGTATGATGATAAATGCCAAAATAATTGAGTCTAAGTGCTCATAATCTAATAAAATTCATCTGATTTGAGGTCTCATAACTAACGTAATCATTTTTGGAACATTCAAAATAATGAGCGAACAAAAATAGAACAATCATAAAAACAACAAAGAATTGAGTTATGCCAAACATATAAAATACTCTTTTTGTTTATATGGTGCAGTGGTGTTGCTGGAGGTTATGGTGAGGTGGTGGTGGTGAGACGTGGGTGAAGGAGAAGAGGTAAAGAATGAAGAGGGTGAAGGAAGATTGAAGAAGAAAAAAGTAAAATAAAAATATGAGGACATTATTGGTATTTCACATTCATGAATTTTATATTTTTTATAATAAATTAATAACTAAGGGTAAATTAGTAATTGTATCACTTTACCGGTCAGAAAGTTGTCTCCATGGCCTTAAAGGGGGCATTTTGCTTGCTTTTAATAGTTGATGGGAGCAACTTGCTCCCAAAAATAGTTAAGGAGGTATTATGCAACAATTGTATAGTTTAGGGGTTTTTTTTTTTGCCCTTTTGCCATATATATATTTGTATATTTTGTTTTTGAGTTAATTATATTAGGTAATTTACAAAGACCCCCCAACAGTTTGCCATAATTACAGGGACCTCTCATCTGGTTTGGGAATTTACACGGACCTCCTCTAAAAATGAAACTAACCTACTAAAAATCTCTCAACTAATTATAGTAAATGACTGAACTACCCATATTCTTTTAGATATATATATATTGGGAAATGCATATGTGGCTCAGTCTCTCTCAAACTTTCCATCTTCAAAACCGCCGCCACCACACCTTGACTGGCCTCCACCCACTGGCGAACCACCACCATCAATTTGGACGCACACCAAAATATTCAATAAATCCACAAAATTAAATGTAGACTCACTGGGTACCCCAAATACTTTATGTACAATTCAATTTGGGCATACACTAAATATTCGAGGGATCCACAAAATTAATTATAAACCCAGAATAAGAACATTTATACATATATTCTCCAACAATAAATTCTGGTAAACCACTGCCATATTGAGAGGAGAGAGGCCATTAATGGCATATCCTTGTAATCCTTAGGTTAAGCTTTTACGAACGTTGTTGGGCTTGTTGATGGTAGTGGGTATTGGTGATGGTAATGGTGGTGGTGGTGGAGGGTAGAGAGAAAAAGTGAATAGATAGCGGTGATGGGTGGGTGGGTGGATTGACGTGTGTACATAGTAGTATAGAGAGAGAAAGGACGAGGGTGATGAGCTGAGTGTTCGGCTGCCGTAGTGACTATTCCGGCGATAAACAGAGACATCGACAATGACCATGGAGAACGACGACGAGGCTGTTACTCTCCCTCCTTTCTCAAACCCCAATATTCCAGTTGCATTATTCTTTATCCAAACCCTACCAATTCAAGACATAACCACCTCAATTCCAATCTTCCACCTTCATATTAGGAGGCATTGATAGAAAAACATGGACTACTTGCCTACTTACCGGTGAGTAGGAAACTTATACTCATCACGTATGTGGCGCAATGCTAAACTGACAAATGTACTTACATTTAAAATAATTAAAAATAAATAATTTGATAGCTATCCGGGGTAAACCCAAATGAATCCGAATCAAATTCTAATTCTCTCTCCTGTCCCTCTTTCTCATGCTTAATCTTATCTGTTCTGTCACTCTCCCCCCCCCCCCCCCCCCTCCTCTTTCTCTCTCATATTTTAAGAGAGAGAAACTCGTGTCTCCGGAGAATTGGTATCAGAGCCATGGCTAAGGCTTAGGGTTTTCCTTATAGAAATCAGAATAAAAGAATTAAATATATATTATATATATTTTTTAATTTTGAGGACATCTAAGAATTTGATCGTGTATGTTGTACATGTATATTGCACCGATCAAAATAAAGATTTTTCGTCGTGCTTTCTCGACAAATTCTTTGCTAATCTGTCCAATCTGTGGTTTTTGAACTATATTAAAGTCTGTCTCTAGATCTTATGGATATATATCATATTTCTCAACCCTCTAGTGTTGAATTGTATAGTAACATGGTGTAATATAGGTCTCGGAAATAGCTTCATATATAACATTGGCGAAGTAGTCATCCTCCTATTACGAAGAAACGGTTAATTTATCAAGACTCCATAGGATGAGTGTCTTTGACTTTTTTCCTTTAGATGTGATATATTTGATGACTTTTTTTTTTTAATTGCAATAGATGTTCTTCAATTTAGTCGTTGATCTGATTAAATTGGTAAGGGTTGAGAGATCTAAGTTGGGGAAGGTGTGTAAAGGTGTGGTGGTTCTAGTTGATCTAAAAAGGGTGCTTTTGAAATTTTGGAGACAACAATTTCTCTCTCTAAAAATATGAGCAAAAGAGAGGAGGAGGGGGAGAGACAGATAAGATTAGCTTGAGAAAGAGGGAGAGGAGAGAGAATTAGAATTTGATTCGGATTCATTTGGGTTTAACCCGGATAACTATCAAATTATATATTTTTAATTATTTTAAATGTCAGTGCACTTGTCAATTTAGTATTGCGCCATATACGTGGTGAATATAAATTTGCTACTCACCGGTAAATAGGTAAGTATTGTCCGCAAAACATTATCTCTCAAATGACAAATAGTTAATCAAATCCCATCATCAACCCAAGACATGGCCTAAATTAGTAGGAGGCAAAGAGGACAGAGAAAATGAAGAGGAGATGAATAGGAGAGAAACAATCATTGGTATTTAACTTAACTAGATGACAACTGTAAGTCCTTGTAGAATAGTAACAATCATCAACCCAAGATATGGCCTAAATTGGTAGGACGTAACGAGGACAGAGAAAATGAAGAGGAGATGAATAGGAGAGAAACAATCATTGGTATTTAACTTAACTAGATGACAACTGTAAGGGAAGGTAAGTCCTTGCAGAATAGTTTCACTTTTAGGGAAGGTCATGCAAATTTCCAAACCCTATATAATTGTGACAAATAATAAGAAAGGCTTGCGTAAATTACTCAATTTTATTTATATTGTTGAAAAGACACTTTTTATTTTTCCCCTTAGGCCCCTTGGATCGAGCCACTGGCTTGAACCAAAACTTACTTTTATTAGCATCCGAGACTAGGTACTTATTCCAAGGGAAATGATTCATAACAAGAACAATATAACAAATTAATAGACTGATTCTTGGTATTGTAATTATTTCAGAAATCAACTGGCAATCTCCATTGAATGGAGACAGCACATAATAAATACCTCCGGGATTGTAGACTTTCTCGTGATGAGGAGGATGAATTGTAATTATTCCTACCTCAAAATAAAGGAACTCTTAAAAAGATGTTAAACCAGTGAAAAAAGAAAAAAATAAAAGAAGACAACGGCATAATCACAATAGGACATATGAATTTGTTTAAATAGTAAAGACAAATTATAGTGTTTGAAGCCCTCTGTAACAGACAATACAAGCCAATAGTCAGCTAATCCTTGTATCTATACTATAGTAACATAAGAAACTTTCCATGCCAGCACTTCTCCCTCTCTGTCTCAGATTATCTATCCTGCTCCAACTAGTTCTGCAAAATTCATCCAAAAAAGTGACTAATGTTGGAAATAAATTAGGCAATACAACAAAAATGAAAGCTACGTTGCGGTAAGGGGACACATATAAGCATGGGCGTTGGCTGGATATAGCCCCGTCTTGTCCAAGCCATAAAAATTTTCTAGACGGTATGTGGCGTTGCCGACCCTACCACGTGGAATCAACTATTAAGGCAAGGATGATTATGATGATGATTAGCCATTACTAAAGTCAACAGACTCCACAACAGTGCAATAATAGTTGCCACCATCTTATTTGTTTAAAGATTTTTTCTATTAAAAACCCAAACCAGTAAAAACCTCAAACTTGATTGCATGACCAATATTTTTTTAAGAAAACTACGATGTCATTTCTTAATTTCTTACCTCCACCTGAGGTTGATCAGCTTTAGATTGCTCACCTGCCAATTTAAGTGACATATTTGCAAAACAATAACATTAGTTATGACAATGCAGAATCTATATAACTCTAATACCAAGTCACACAATAGTATAAAAGGCGGCAGAGCAAAACAATCAAAGGAAAAAATGCACAGCAAAACAATCAAATGAAGACATACTTTTTTTAGTAGATAATAGCAAACAAAACCCACCATGTTCAACCAATAAAATACAGTGCGCAAAATAGAACATCATGAATACCCTCACACTCCATCTGTGTTCACCACCATTTCCGAAAATAAAGGGATCCGTTTGGTAATGTTTATTTGTTGTATAAATCTTTTTTTTTTTTTTTTGATAAGTTGTCTGTTGTATAAATCTTGGAAACAGAAAACAAGAAACTTGTTCGGTAAAGCGCAACCTTGAAAATAAACCAGTGAAACTAAGAAAAACCGTGGAAGAGCCACTGTAGGTGCAAAAATTCGTTTAACTAAAGAGCCAAAAGAATAAATACAACTCACTCAAATAAAAGAACAATTAATAATAAGAACAAATCAGAGAAAAACTTGTAATGCTCGATGATCTTTATTAAAGTCTATGCCTCTATTTATATACAAAAAGAAGGTGGAATTATGGTAGGATTCGCTATGCTTGTCCTCCAATTCATTCTATATACAATTCTTTTCATACAAGGTTATTTTCTTCTTCAATTCTTTCCATATAGGATTCTTTACTATAAGGACTTCTTCCTACGCAGAGTTTCCTTATAGAGCGATCCTTTGTCAAGGAGGATTTGATTAATCCTAACCGTACTTGGATTATAATTGTGAGCGGGCCGGATGAGTTTTTTGCAGGCCGAGAGGTTAATGTTAATAGCTTTGGGCAGATGATGTCTTTGCTTGGACTTGATCAAGATTGGGCTTTGGTGGGCTAGTAAAGAAATAATGGGATGATATCTTTTTTAATGATATGGCTGATTTCTATTGGTGGGGGATTTTTCCCTCTACACTTTGTCCTCAATTCCCTCCTAAATTGAACTATGGCTCCTAATTAGAAGGAAATTGAATTCGCACGGTTGTCAATTTTTGTAAGAGGCGGTTCGAGACATGACCATTGACATCCTAACCAAAGAACTTCTTCAAAGCTTGCTCCTACCTTCACTGCTTCGTCGTAATATCAAGTTAGTTCTTATTTATCTTACTAATTTCATATTATGAGCACTTCATCCACCCACGACCACATAGAGATCATGGATTCCGAAACCACACCTTCATCATCTTCTATTCTTCTTAAAGACCCTCCTCCTAGGATTTCTAATTCTCTTGAGACTATGAATGATTCTGTTGTGCGAATAGATGATTCTTCGCCTCAAGCAGAGGTATCAACTTCTGGATCGGATGGTATTTTTACAAAAAACGAAAAAGAAATGATTTTGTCAGTCCGACACATCAAGTTTATCATTGATTCCGTAATGGAAGAGTTTGAAATCCTCGAGGGGGTGGAGATTGCTGAATACTCAAATGATTCCGATTTCAGTTCTGGTGAAGGGGTGGGTGAGTAGGGATGGCAAATTCCCCATCCCCGCCGGGGCCCTGCCCCGTTTATAGCAGGGATGGGGATCCTTTTAGTTAAATGGGGATGGGGATGGGGCCAATTTATAAATCCCCACCGGGGCCGGGGATGGGGTAAACCCGCCCCGATTAAGTGTGAAGTTACTAATATATCCTTACAAATAATTTATTACTAAATTAGATTTATTATATATATAAAAATAAGAAAAAATATGTTTTTTTTAATAAAAAAAATTATGAGGCCTGGGGCGGGGGCGGGGGCGGGGGCGGGGGCGGGGGCGGGGCGGGGCGGGGCGGGGATGGGGATAAGGTGGCGGGGGCGGGGGCGGGTATGGGGATTCTAGCAAAATTTTAAGCGGGGATGGGGAATGAAAAATGCAGCGGGGATGGGGATGGGGAATGGAATCCCCGTTCCACCCCGCCCCGTTGCCATCCCTATGGGTGAGAATGAATTTCTCTTATCTATTGGCCATCTCAATGCCCTTCATTTTCCCCTTCATCTATTTTACCACTAAATCTTTAATAAGTTAGGTATTGCCCCTCTTCAAGTAAACCCTAACTTTCTTAGAATAGTGTCGGCTCTTTTTGTACGTAGAAGGTTAGAAGGATTTGACCTGAATCTTACTAACTTGCTAACCACCTATACTATTTCCCGACATCAGACCGAACTTGGTCGTTATTATTTCGCTTCTTGTCTTCAACAGAGGATATGCACATACCTCCCTACTTCCGAAAAGAGATGGAAAGAAAGAATGATTATTGTTAGGGGAAAATGGTTTGTGCCTCAATCAAACTTCATATTCCTCGCAAATTTGGGATATTAGGTATAAAAGATTTGTCTTCCTTTCATCCAGAATGCTTTGGTTGCTTCTCATGTCAGGTTTTACTTTTTCATCATATTTACGAATTTCTTGGTGTTTTTTCAGCAACGTTCCCATATTATGCGGCTAGGAAAATGCTTGCTTTCCTCAAGGAACGAGTTTGGAACGACCCTCCTTCTGCAGAGGACCTTCTTTCTTTGTCCTCTCTTAAAGAGGTTGCATCTAGTGCTTCTGCAGCTGATCTTATGGATTTGTCACTCTCTTCTTTTGACAGCTTTCCTCTTACTGACGAGAAGAAGAGGGCTGAAGCTCTCAAGAAGAAAGCTGCAGAAAACAAACCTCTTGCAGCTGTGCGCTCTACTGAGCAAGAGAAGGAAGTTGAGGAACTTCCTTTAAAGAAAAAAGCTAAGAAGAATCTTCCTTCTTCTGCCAAAGGTAAAGGTATTGATCTTGGCAAGAACAAAGGAAAGAAAGACGAGGAAGTGGAGCCTGAAGAAGTAGTTCGGGCTTTTGTCTTGGCAGATAAAGGGGAAGCTTGGAAACCAACTTTTTCTAGGGCCGATAAATCAGTTCTTCATTCTAGAGATTCTATAGTCCTTGATCCTTCTGCTGCACTAGGAGTTGCTCGTGGGATGTGGCTACCCAATGATGAAGAATTAATGAGCAATATGGGCTTGGATCAACTTCTTCCGTTTGCCCCTATTCGTGTTATGGAGGTTCGTCTTACCCCTTGGCTCCATTCTTCCTTGTTTTTGTAATTATGCTCTACTTATATCCTGATTGTCCTGTAGAGTCTGTACCACACCATGACTTTATCTGCGACTGCTGAGGTTCAATTCGAAAAATGGAGAAGGATCTTGCTGCTGCTAAAAAGAAACTTTCGAACGCGCTTATGAATGTTAAAATGGCCTATGATGCGAGAGATGTATACAAGGGTCATCTTGCAGCTTCTGAAGCCAAGGTGAAGGAATTGGAAGCTGAGAACCTGCGCTGGAGGGATGCGGTTAATACCTGCACAGGGAAACAGATGCAGGAGCGTTAATCCTCTTTGGTGTGCTTGTCTAGTGTAAGGGCCTTCCGATTCGGCTTTACTTAAGGCTCAGGTGACAAGCTAAAGGATCCGGATGCTTTTGATAGAGACATGGAAGTGACTTTTCCTTATGCTTAAGGGTCCAAAGGCCCAAGAGGCAGAGGTTTTGTTTGCTAAAATGGTGAAGTCTCACCAAGGGGATCTTCCAGCTTCAAGTTCCTCAGTTGCTCCAGCTACGGCTTCTGGTCCGAATGTGGTTGATGCCTTTGCTTCAGCTCCTTTTAATCCCAAAAGGAAATTAATTTACCTTATGTAATATTTGTCTGAACCAATGGATATTTGTTTTTGAACAATATTTTTTTTAAATGTACGACTGCCTTAACTTGCTCTCTCTCTGTGTTCATATTTTCTTAGAGAATTTATATGCCTTTGAAACCTTCGGACTCTTTTTAGGGCTCGAGGTTTTTTGCTTTTTGCTCGACACTTTCTTGTGCCTTAAAGAAACTTTGGTCTCCTTGGGGACTTCGGAAACCCTTATGGTCCGAAGATAAAAAGGAAAGGCAGCAAGAAGGGAGTTCCCATGCTAGTTCGGTCACTAACTGGAGACTGTTATACCACTTGGTGATCTAACTGTCAAGGGAACCCTTCTTGTCATTGACTTATGTGGTGCGAGTATATCAATACTCGTTTTTTCGATTTGGGACAGGTTACTTGATGGACTTAGTACTGTCTTGGCCAAATACATTGGGCTTGAGAGTAGGACGCCGAGTGAAGGATATTTGCCTCCACTCGGGCTTATACCTAATTTTTGTAACATTGCAGGCCTTTGGATTCTTAAGGTCCGAAGATTACTGCCTATTGGCAGTTGCTTATTCTTGGGGACTTCGGACTTTTTATGGTCCGAAGGTAAAAAGGAATTTATGTATACTTTTGGACTCTTGAGGTTCGAAGATTATTATTCATCAGCAATTGTTTTATGACTTGGAGGAATTTCTCTCTCTCTTTTTTTTTTTTTTTTTGTCTTCGGACTCTTTGTGGACCGAATGTTACTCCTCGGCACTCATTTGTGCCTTGGGGGAAATTTTGCCCTTAAGACCTTCGGACTCTTTGTGGTCTGAAGATATTTGAAAAATAGGCTCAAGAAAGAGTTTCTCCTGATATGCAGGTCTCTGATTGAACAATTTCGCTTGAAGATCTATTTGTCAGGGGGCACCTTTATTGGCGGTCAACAATTATGGGATGCAACCATATATAGCACTCCCTTTTATTGTTTGTTTTTGATGTGGGACAACTTTTTTAATGGGCCTAGCGTTGTTGGCCAAGAGTTGGGACCTGAGAGTAGGACATCCATAAAGAATATTTGCCCCCATTTGGGTTTAGACCCATTTGTATATATGAAGTTGCATGTCTTCAGACTCTTGATGTCCGATATTTAAGTTCCTCAACAGTCAGTTGTGCCTTAGAGGAATATTTCGTTACCTTTGGATTCTTGAGGTCCGAGGTTTTAAGTTCCTTGGCAGTCGTATATGCCTTAGAGGATTTTTTTTATATATATGCCTTCCGATTCTTGATATCCGAGGCTTGAAGTTCCTCGGCAA